ATATTATTAACATAGCACAGGAGGCACCCCTCTCTCTTCACTCTGGCCCAGAGCGGCAGTTGTTGCTGAGGGGAGGGGTCACCAACTGATGACATATGCAGGAGACAAGATGGAAATGTCCCCTGGCCCCCTCTCTCTTCAAATCCCATCATCCGTTGTCCGTACTGCCCCCAAAGATATTGTTTTTGTGATTAGTCCCTATGCTTTAATTATGTCCAATTTGTAACAATGAAAATACATCCTGCATATTAGATATTTGCATTAGAATTCATAAGAGTAGCAAAATTATTTATGAAGTAGCCACGAAAATATGGTTGGGGGTCACCACAAAAGGAGGAACTTTATTTGGGGAATTCAGGATGCTCTTTGATTGTAGGTGAACGTTATGACRTAGCAACTAAAGTAGTTTTATAGTTGGGGGTCACCACAACATGAGGAATTGTATGAAGGGGTCGCGGCATAAGGAAGGTTGAGAACCACTGCTCTAGGGGATAAGTATCTTATTTGGTCTCTGATTTCTGTCATTTTGTCTAAAGGATTTTTTTTCTTTTTTCTCAAAAAGAAATCGGCAGAAGAAACACAAGAAGCCAGCTGTAACAAAGCCTGGTGTGGAAAAACAGGTGTCGGGAAATCAAAAGAGAACGAAAACAGAGGAGAAACCATATAAATGCATGGAATGTGGAAAGGGCTTCAGCAAGAAAGCAGGTCTGCGTGTACATCAAAAAATACACACAGGAGAGAAGCCATACAAATGCATGGAATGTGGAAAGAGCTTTAGTAACGGGAGACACCTTTGTATACACCAAAGAACACACACAGGGGAGAAACCATACAAATGCATGGAATGTGGAAAGGCCTTCAGTCAGAACGGAAATCTACTTAAACATCAAAGAACACACACAGGAGAGAAGCCATACGAATGCATGGAATGTGGAAGGAGCTTCAGTTACAATGAGACTCTACGTTCCCATCAAAGAACCCATACAGGAGAGAAACCCTATGAATGCATGGAATGTGGAAAGAGCTTCAGTCAGAACGGAAGTCTACTTCGACATCAAAGAACACACACAGGAGAGAAGCCACACGAATGCATGGAATGTGGAAGGAGCTTTGGTAATGGGGCACAACTTTGTAAACATCGAAGAACACACACAAGGGAGAAACCCTTTGAATGCATGGAATGTGGAAAGGGCTTCAGCCAGAAACGAAATCTACAGGTGCATCAAAGAATACACACAGGAGAGAAGCCATACAGATGTATGGAATGCGAAAAGAGCTTCAGCGATGGTGGATCATATAAGAAACATCTAAAGGCTCACACAGGAGAAAAACCATATAAATGTATAGAATGTGGAAAGAGCTTTGGTGACCGTACACAACTTTGTACACATCAAAGAACACACACAGGGGAGAAACCATACAAATGCATGGAATGTGGAAAGAGCTTCACTCAGAAAGCAGGTCTACAGGTACATCAAAGAACACACACAGGAGAGAAGCCATATGAATGCATGGAATGTGGAAGGAGCTTCAGTTGCAGCGGAAGTCTACGTTTGCACCAAAGAACCCACACAGGAGAGAAACCCTATGAATGCATGGAATGTGGAAAGGGCTTCAGTCAGAAAGCAGGTCTACGGGTACATCAAAGAATACACACAGGAGAGAAGCCATACGAATGCATGGAATGCGGAAAGAGCTTCAGCGATAGTGGATCATATAAGAGACATCTCAAGGTTCACACAGGAGAAGCCCTTTGAATGCATGGAATGTGGAAAGAGTTTCAGTGATAGGGGAGGATATAATCGACATCAAAGGATTCACTCAGGTGAGAAGCCCTACAAATGCATGGAATGCGATAAAACATTCAGGTGCCGTTCAGATCTGTTGACACATCAAAAAACCCACAGAGGAGAGAAACCACACAAATGCATAGTGTGTGGAAAGGGCTTCAGTAAGGCTTATCATCTGCGTGTACATGAAAGAACGCATTCCGGAGACAAACCCTATAAATGCACGGAATGTGGAAAGAGTTTCAGTCAGATGGCAAATCTACGTGTCCATGAAAGGACACACACAGGGGAGAGACCATACAAATGCACAGTATGTGGAATGGGCTTCTGTGATAAAGGCTCATGTAATAAACATCTAAGGACCCACACAGGGGAGAAACCATATGAATGCGTGGAATGTGGAAAGAGCTTCAGTTGCAGTTCTAATCTGCGTACACATCAAAGAACCCACACAGGGGAGAAACCGCATGAATGCAAGGAATGCGGAAAGAGCTTCTCTACTAGTAGCAGTTTGCGGTCGCATCAAAGAACCCACACTGGGGAGAAACCTTATGAATGCATGGAGTGTGGAAAGAGCTTCAGTTGCAGTGAAAGTCTACATTCCCATCAAAGAATCCACACAGGAGAGAAACCATATCAATGCCTGGAATGTGGAAAGAGCTTCAGGGGCAGACGGGATTTGCATTCCCATCGTAGGACCCACACAGGGGAAAAGCCATATAAATGCATGGAATGTGGAAAGGCCTTCAGCAAAAGTGGAGATTTACGTGCCCATCATAACACCCACACAGGAGAGAAACCATATCAATGCCTGGAATGTGGAAAGAGCTTCAGAGACAGACGAGATTTGCATTCCCATTGTAGGACCCACACAGGGAAAAAACCATATAAATGCATGGAATGTGGAAAGGCCTTCAGCAAAAGTAGAAATTTACYTGCCCATCGTAAGACCCACACGAGAAAAACCACATAAATGCATYGAATGTGGAAAGGCCTTCAGCAAAAGTTGCTCATATAATAAATATCTCCCTATGTATATATTTTTGGATTTACCTTAATCATAATAATAATTCAATATGTATATTCCGCACTTCTCCCCGAGGGTACTCAAAACAGAGTCCCCTCCTCCTGCTGCATTTACAGCAGACATAGGCAAACATTCAATGCCTTTACAGTCACATAAAATGAGACACACAGACAAAGGCAAAGGCTTCTCCTTTCATTTCCGACTTCTGAAGGCAATGCTCATTTCTCGCTCTGGGAGAGGTGTTTTTCTCCATTTTCGATCCGAGGAGCCATTAAAGAGCCCACATAGGGGAGAAARATGGGASAAACATTGTCATCTCCCAGTTGTGTGGCCGGCAAGYCTGCTTGGAGTGTCTTTTGCCTTTTCCTGCCAAAGCGGTACCTATTATATTTCATAAGGTAACATAAGGTAATTTTATAAGGCAAAGGCTTCTCCTTTCATTTCCAGCTTCTGAAAGCAATGCTCATCTCTGGCTTTGGGGGGGTTGCTTTTCTCCATTTTCAAGCTGAGGAGCCAGCATTGTCACCTCCRGGTCYTGCGGCTGGCAAGACTGCTGGAGACTGGGACGTGGAACAATGGCTTCAAAGTACAAGACAGGAGATTCCATCTGAACATGAGGAAGAACTTCCTGACAGTGAGAGCCATTCAGCAGTGGAACTCTGCCCTGGCGTGTGTGTGTGTGGGGGCTGGGTGGCCATCTGTTGGGGGTGCTTTGAATCCAATTTTCCTGCTTCTTGGAAGAAATGGGGTTGGACTGGATGGCTTATGAGGTCTCTTCCAACTCTAGGATTCTATGATTCTAGGAGTGTCTTTTGACTTTTTTCTGAAAGTTAATCTTTGGAACATAATGAAGCATGTGTAAATCAGAAAAGATGTTGCAATAGACTAGGAGGCAGGACATTGAATTAATGAGCTTATAACAGTGGAGTAAAAATACAGCAGACGCCATTGCTCTGTCTCTTGTCTCTTCTCAATTGCATCTGACCATGCTAACGAGGAAGTGTCATTGCAATGAATGGAATGTAAATAAAGATTAGAGCCGCTACTGAAGCAGAAACAACTGTGTCTGAAGTCAGTTAACTGGATGATAAGAAGCAAGTTGGCCAGCAAATTGCACTGATAATTTGTAAAATGTTGGGACCTTTTACCATATGTGTTTGTAAAAAGGCCCAGAAGTATTGGACACAAGTATGTATGATGTTAGAAAAAAATGTTAAGATCAAAATGATGACAAAACTAGAGTTTTCCTTGCTGGGATGCGGGATGATCTGTTAGAGGGAAAATACAAAGACTACTGTTGTACATAATGTCTGCAGTGAGGATAATCTCTGTCCAGAGATGGCTAGAACCAACTATCCTGATGCAAGAGGACTGGGTGACAAAGATGTGCACATTAGCTGAGATAGACAAACTAATCCTGCTGATGCAGGAGAAATCCTGAAACACTGGAACTCATTGATCGTTTTTCTGCAAGAAAAATGGGAACAAATTTCAGCTGTCCAGTTTCTGATATAGTCGTATAGGGTTGTATAGGTTAGGATGATTGTTTCAGACTGAGTTCTGTTAGTTGTTGCACAATTCTTTTTGTTTTGTGTGTGTAGGGAGACATTCTTGCTCAATGTAACTATTTTCTATACCTGTTTCTGTTTTCACACTTGTATTTCTGTTCCTTGGAATAAAAATTATTAATACATCTTACAATCACATGTGTGGATTTAGATAGGAATCTCTCTAGGAGGGGAGGAGTCCAAAAGTCTTCACTGRCTCTGAGGTTCACCCTTGAAGGTCACTGAGAAGACGTTGCCCATCCAACTGCTGGACAGATCAGCCCCAGTCAGCTTAGTAAATGGGCAGGTAACACTGGGWTCTTTGCCAGGTMGAATATGAATTAGGCAGATCATGGGTCAGTCCCCAAAAAAKCCCTCTCCGTATTCAAAGTTGGCCATGTTAGGTATGTGTGCCAAGTTTGGTCCAGATCCATCATTGGCTGAATTTGACCTAAGCTTGGCCTCRCCCTCACCCCAACATGACCAACTTCGGATACTGAGAGTTTCGGGGGAAATGAAGCACCATTTTGGCAATTGTAGTACACCCACAGTCAAAGAACACTGAACCCAAATGACAGTGGATCTGGACCAAACTTGACACATGGCCAACATGATCAACAGAAAATAATGGTGGGATTGGAGGGGTGTTGACCCACAATGTTGGAAACTGTAGTGCACCCAAAATCAAAAAACACTGAAGAGTGTGGTGTTTCAATGATGTGTGTTGTTAATGCTCACAACAATATGCGCTCAGGGCTTTAAAGCAGGATAAGCAAAGTTGAGGGATATTCTGAAATAAAACCTATAATGTTCACCAGTGCACTTACCATTTTGTCTTTTAATAGCACCCCCGTTACTTCTACTTGCTTTTTATTTGGGTCTGAGGTGGGTCTCCTTTCTCCCCGGACACCAAGGCTGGATTTTTCCCCCTCCGTAGGATAGAGCAGCTCKCTGGGACACATTTCCAGTTACTCATGGTCCCCAGTTTCTGATTGCGGTGTCGTCTTGAGCAAGTCYCACTCTCTTGGCTTGAGTCACACTCCCTCAACCCAAAGGATGATGCGGAAAATCCCTGTGTAAATAAAGTCCTAATAAATGGTTGTCCTGAGCAACTCAGTCCATCACATACAATGCATGGGAAGTGATCTCGGAGTGCCATGAAGCCTCCACCGCAGACAATGGGGAGTGCAGTTGCCTCCATCACATGGACTGAACTGGAGGTTTCTTGAGTGGGTTGAAGGCAGCCATCTTGCAAGACGCCGCACCATATTGTCCTCTGCAGGAACTGTTGAGAGCCCTTCCCACTTTCACCAATGCCACTCTGGTGGTCATTCGATGGTAGGCAGCCATCGTCCTCTGSTTCAGCTYTTGAGGGTCCCTCCCACTTCCACCAATGACACTCCAGTGGCCACAGGGTGGGAGGCAGCCATCCAGCAAAACAAAGCCCCATTGTGTCATCTGCAGTAGAATTTAAATGTCCTTCCCAGTATCACAAACTGACATTCCGGTGGCCATAGGGAAGGGAGTCATCCAGCAAGACACAGCACCATTGTGTCCTCTGCAGTAGCTGTGTTGGGAGTCTCCCACTATCACCAGCGGACATTCTGGTGGCCACTGATTTTAACAGGAGTGGAGCGCAGGGAGCATACAACCCCCCTGTTGCGCCAACTCCACTGGCTACCGATCTGCTACCGGGCTGAATTCAAAGTGCTGGCGTTGGCCTTTAAAGCCCTAAACGGTTCCGGCCCAAGCTACCTATCCGACCGCATCTCTGCCTATGAACCCACCAGGACTTTGAGATCTTCCGGGGAGACCCTGCTCTCGATCCCGCCTGCTTCTCAAGCTCGGCTGGCGGGTACGAGAGATAGGGCCTTCTCGGTGGTGGCTCCTCGGCTGTGGAACGCCCTTCCTACGGACATTAGACTAGCACCATCTCTAATGGTATTCCGCAAAAAGGTGAAGACCTGGATGTTTGTGCAGGCGTTTGAGTAATTTAGTGCAATCTGGTAATGGAACATAGGAATGGAACAATGGACGACGAACCTGGACTACGCTTGAATGATGAGAAGATTGGGTACGGTTGTTTTTTGTAATAATTGTGCATTGTAATTGCTTATGGTAATTTATGGATAATGTGTTAAGTCAATTGTTATATGTTGTATGGAACTACTGCTGTTTCTACTGTTTTTACTGTTTGTGAACCGCTGTGAGTCGCCTTCGGGCTTGAGATACAGCGGTATAGAAGCAAAGTAAATAAATAAATAAATAAATAGCTGTGAAGGTGTACGAAGGCTGCAACAGGTAGGAGGCCACCAATCATCAGGGTATCCATGCCACTGGATTAGAACCTCTTTCTATGAAGGCTGTGTGTTGGTCACTGCACCGATCTCCACACATAAAATGAATCCACATCCAAGCATCTTCCAAGCAGACCCCAAACCAACCAAGTCCCATGGGGGGAGGACTGTGAAATCTGGAAGCCCGTAATTATGGGCAGGTTCATGAGCAGTGGATATGTATTCAGGTGTTCTAACCCATTGCAAGGACTCACCTTTGGAATGGAATACCTTGTGGTGATGAATACATGGAATAAATGGAGAGTGCACTTGGCCTCTGCTGCACCTAAAGTCATTTTATTCAACGGGAGTGGCTATCTCTTGCTGCTGAGCAAACCCTGGAATGCATCTATGTCATGCTGTTCAGTAGACTCCATCCTTCTGCCCTGTCCATGTTGAGGAAGTCTGGCCCACCCATTTGTAAGCCAATTTCCCTAAGGATCTCCAAGTCTGTGCCTGCCAGGTGAGATGTGAGTGGAGAAATTACACATTGTGCTTGGCACCTCGATCCATGGCTTCATCCAGCTAGTTCTTAGTGAGACTCAGGCCCAGTCTGCCCATCAGGTGGAGGCCTTTTCCGTTCAAGGTCCCTCAAGGAGACTTGCTCTACAAGTCCACCTCCGAGGCCTCTTCTGTAAACACCCCACTTTTGTTGTTTATGCTATAAAGGAGGACAATGATCATATGTAGAATTAGGTTATTAGCGAGTCACAACCATTGTCTTAGCAACTCACACTCCACCAGAAACGAATAATCCACTCCTGTAGGGAGAAGGTTCACAAGGCTAAAGTGCAAAATGAGCTCAGGCTTGTCAGGGACATTAAAATCAATAAAAAAGGCTTCTTTGCTTATGTTGGTAGAAAAAGGAAGAATAAGGAGGCAACAGGGCCTTTGTGAGGAGAAGATGGGGAAATGCTGATGGGGGATAGATGGGGAAAAGGCAGAACTACTTAAGGCCTCATTTGCCTGTCTTCTCACAAAAAGAAAGCCGTCCCCAACCTCAGCAACATGGAATGGATGAAGGAAGAGGGGAAATCCAACGTCAAATAGGGAAACAAGTCATCCAGGACTACCTAGCCGCTACCTACTACCTGGAACTAGCGGAAGTCATTTCAGAACCATTGGCAACCATCTTTGAGAGTTCTTGGAGAACGGGAGAAGACCCAGCAGATTGGAGGAGGGCCAATGAAGTCCCAATCTTCAAGAAGGGGAAAAAGGACGAGGACAACCCAAACAATTACCATCCGGTCAGCCTCACGTCGATACCATGCAAGATTCTGGAAAAGACTGTTAAGGCAGTGGTCTGCAAACACTTAGAAAGGAATGTGGTCATCACTAATAGTCAACATGAATTTGTCAAAAACAAGTCATTCCAGACTCAACTCATCTCTTTTTTTGATAGTTACAAGCTGGGTAGATGCAGGGAATGCCATGGATGT